TTTAGTTTTGCACTGCAGACGCAGTGCATGCATGAAATATGTCTGAATTAGTCTCAGATATTAAACCAACGTGATGACATTTTAATGCTGGTGACCTTTGTATTACATATATAACTCCTCTGTTATAAAACCTACAATATTAGACTATGAGTTGTTAAGTTAGTACTCATGTACGCTGTACGCTGTCTGATGCTGCTTCTCTCCTAGACAGCATTACTCGTGTTGCTTTGTGGGCTACAACAGTGAATTATGGATAATAAACCTTTCGTGACACAGCATGTGTGACATCTTAATCTCAGTGCAAGCCGAAGGTCCTAAAGCCTTGGTGACCTGCATGGCTGGAACCCACAGAGTCGGAAGGAGGTGCGCCGCTAATGGATGTGTTTCCTGCCTTGTTTGTCAGACTCATTATTTAATTATGCCTCTTCCACCTGAGCTGCGTGTTTACGAGAGAGTTGTGTTTTCTATCCATCTGCACCGCTCCTGTCCCTCTCTCACAAGATGAGAGTTTTCACTCACGCGAAGAAAGAACTAGGCTCAAGCCCACCACCGTGTCGGCTTTTTGGTATGATAATTCGACTACGAATGGAACCATCTCGAGTTTCTCCTGAAATTCTTCTGCTATGGTGGACTTTGTAATTTGTGGTAACTGAACGCCGGCCTCCTTGACTGTAGGAACAGACCCCCACCCCCGTTAAACTCCCCAAAGCGTGACTCATCTGCGTGGCAACGCACCCGCACAAAACGAAAAACTCTACCTACATTCAAATAAAGTCAAATCCCCCGAAACAATTACCAACGCTGACGGCCGGAAGCTGTTCAGAACAACGACGGTCAAGTCTTAGCTGTGACTTTAAACTGTGTGGGTCATGGACACAAGAGTCTGTAGACGTGTGTAGATAATGCGTGCTGGCTATTGTGAGACACTAATGTGAATGCTTGGAAAGGAAGATGCACTCACAGCTTGTCAGTGTCTTTACATGTCTGCCTGTTAGGAAATGAAGAGTATCTACTTGTGCTGCAACGCCACCGCTTAGACCGCAAGCAGACTAGTGTGCATCCTTCTCCCTCTTAGACCGAACCCGTTTCTACTGAAGCTTACACTTAGAGGTACATATGAGGACGTGGGGAGTTTTTTTTTTACACTTGAGTGATTTACCGTCAAAAGACGCCTGAACTTTCATGCCACATATGCACTTTGAGACTATTTATTTTTGTGTCGTTTTGGGAGAAGTACCACTTATGTTAGAATCTCTGGAATCTAAATAATTAGACGGCTCGGGTAGGAGTCGGTAGATAGAACAACACAGGGGAAAGGAGCTGTGGACAGGCCCAATTTACTTCCATTAAGCTGTATCCCAAACAAGAATGTTTCAGTGGCTTGACGTCGTCTTGGATTGCAAAAATATAATGTCAGGGTCATGGTTTTGGCAAAGCGTTAGAGCGGTCGTGAGGTTTTTCCTGACAACTGACTTCACAAACCAAAACAGTTTTTTCACTCAGTGTTTCCTGTTGGACAGAATGAGTATTCAGTTGTACTTAAGGTTATAATATCTGTAACACATGCACGGTTATTACATTATGAGATGCCCACTCACATCCCTTACTGCTGAAAATCCTTTTGTCGTCTTTTACTCTATACTCTAAAAACACTGACTCATAACCAGCCACGGACGGCTGGAGTTCAGGAGAGGGAAAAGCCGGCAGGGCGGATCACTGGTCTCTCAAACAATGACACAGTCACACCTAACGGCCGTTTATTGCCCCGCAGGGTATGGTCGTAGGAAACGGGAGTAACCCCTAGAGCAAGATATTCAATTCTGAGCATCGATCCACCATGCTGCCACTTCTTCTCCCACTCGCTCGCCCTGAGGTTGCTAAGCGCACGATGAAGAGCTTGAGCCTGACTTTGGCTTCCAACAAAACGGTTAGTTACGGTCCGAGAAGTGTTGACAGGGATAAACAGGCTGGGAGAGGAAGAAGAGTCAATCATATCTCAACAGTTAAAAGGGGAGCTTTCATTTCAGTTGTAGCTTACTAGTCACAATCATCAAGCCTAGAAAAAAGTATTATATTTAAATATTGAGGAGCAGGTGAACATTGGGATTAGAGGGCCGGGTTGGTAATCCTGCAAAACTTGTTTTGCAAACACAATTAGAAAAAGGATTTCTGAAAATGACCAAAGTAGCTTTAACACTTGATGCAATAGAGGTCATATTAAATCATTATAAATGTATTTATAGATAATTTGGTCTAATTTTCTGGAAAGTCCTTAGTTAGTAAACTAACTAAATTAGTTTCTTCTTGAACAAGTAAGGAACATAATGAAAATGGAAAAAAATAAATATACACACACATAACTGATAAAGGGAGCTTTTCAATCTACCAGGATGTGGAGATGGTAAATGATGACCTGGGTTTCATTTATTAATCATCAGGGAAGAGCGTGCACATGAATAACCTTGCAGTCACTCAACGTCTAACTCATAAAAACATGCTACATCTGATTGAATTTCAAGAAGTACTCTCTGAAAGCTGAAGAGAGTACAAAGCGATTAAGTAGCATAATGTTAGGGCAAGGTTACAGACTCTTTCTGTAGTCTAGTCTCGTCCGTGTCTTGCTCTCAGTGTTCATAGTCCCGTGCTGATAAAATGCAAACCGTGTAAAACACATGGGAGACAAAAAGCCCCAATAAAACTACACTAAATTGAACTCCACCAAACTTGATACAAATGTCAAATTAAAAGCTCCACCTCTTATCTATAATCCGCCTCTGAGCCTGACAGTCTGTTGTGCCTTTATCCCCTCTTTGGACTTTCAAATCTCCATGTTCTCTCAGAGCTTTGAGGGCGTTGTGCTCTGACAGAATGTCAGGCAATTAAACAGTCATGGCTCATTGCGCTGGAGGTGGGCCCGCTCCCACAGGCTCCTCTATAGGCAACACAGGACATGCGGGCTCTTCCTGCCATCCTCGGCACCTTCGTGGACTCCAAAACTTAACGGTTAATCGGGACTAAAAGTTCTTATCAAAGGACACCTTACACTGTCGAGTTACACGGGGCTGAGTAGTGTCACTGCCACAGGTAATCATCTTATTTGCCGGCATGCAAACAAAGGCGCGCTCTGACGGGGAATCCAGCCATGTGCCGGCTACAAGGTGAACACGTAAATGCTGCCACTTTAATGAACGGCACGAGGAGGCAGCTGCACGGGACTCACACATCTATTCTGAAAGTACACCATGGGTGTGTGAAACAACGACACGAAGCACGTTTATTTAAGACACACTCAAAGACATGAAGCTTGTAAAAACAACTTACTATTCTTTCTATAAGTATTTTAATGATGAATGAATTTTTTTTATCAGGCGAAGGCAAAACTTGTATTTGAACTTCTGTATTTTGTTCATGCTGGAAATGGAAAAAAAACGAGCAAGCGCGGCAGATGTTTTGCACTGCACTCACGGACGGACACAATGGTCAATATCCGAACCTTTAGGAAAATATTTCCAAGCACCTTTTTGTGTGTACGGCAGCAGACGTGTTGCAGTGAGAAAGGAAGGATCGGATTCATAAATATCAACCGCTGAAAATTTTCCTTTCTTTAAAGCCACACACTGAGCACCTGTATCACTTTAAACAAAGGGAGAGATACAATGGTGAGCAATGTGAAACTATGTGTTTAAGTGTATTTATGTGTTAAGACTATGGTCTGAACCTGCTTTATATGTAAAGTTTAACACCTATTGGGATTTTTCCCAGTGTTAATACAATTAAAAAAAGTAAGCAACCTAAACCATATCGACGGGGAATATGATCGAAGAAGAAGAAGTTAGAAAAGGAAGTATAAATGTGTTGTTGCCATGACTTTGCTTGATATACAGAAGGAACCAATGTTACTGTTCTGTTCTACTGAGGTGGAGTTGAAGGTGTGACTTCACACCTCGACCAACGTAATTTAATGTTAGCTGAGCGTATCTCAGCCACCAATACAGAAATTCAACACAACTCATCACAATTGTAAAGGTTATATTTCACTGTATGGAACCCTTAGCACCTTTTGCTGAGCGCACTACGTGTTGACCAGTAGCCACTTCGGCTTTTTCATTTTCTGTTTTCAAAATAAGACTAACACTGCAAAGGCTTTAGTGGACACAGCAGACTGTTCCAGTGAGAAAGCGTCTAATAAACCAAAAGTGTTCCACCTGCTCAGCAGCAGGCGTCAGGCGGACCAGCTAGCTGGTGGACATGGAGCATTTACCAGGTAAAGAGCCAGATGTGTTCTCAGGAATTAGCGGAGGTTGAAAGCACAGTGAATATCCATCAATTCGCCTGAACCATGACTCCAAAGCAATGAAAGCGTTACTCCGCTGTGACTTTCAGCAGACAGCGGTTGAAATAATGGATGTGAACCGTACAAAGCAAAAAAAGGTATCAAGCCTTCTCTTTTTCTCTTCATGAACCAAACAACCCCTTTTACACGATTTGCAGTTTCCTGTGGCCGCTGTGATCCTCGTGGATTCCACATCCATATTCCTAACGATCTTTAAAATAGAATCTTCTGCTCATGTACACTTTTAAGTTATTGCATGTTTAAAATAACCTCCTGTCATTGTGCCCCGGCGTCTTCTCAGCAGGTTAATTGCCCAGTAATTAATGAACATTCCGGAGCCCTTCCTGAAGGTGTTACCTGCCTGAAGAGATCCTGTAGTACATCCCATAATGAATTTAAGACAAAATGTTCCCTCACAGCCAGACTAGGTGACCTCGACTCCTTTGTTAGATGGAACTGAGGCTGACACTTCGCGCACCAAGAGTCGAATACCACTGGGATCCACAGGTAACAATGCTGTAAACATCTAAAGCTTGGAACACAATGTATCCCTCACCATACAACATTAAAACATTATGTTTGCTCTGTTGAAATGCAAAGAAAACCTGTTTCAGACAAGAGCCCCAACAGTAAACAACGGGAATGGGTATAAAATGTTGAACCTTACGCTGTGTTGCATCGCATGCCAAACAATCCTCTGGTTTGCAGCATAAAGGCAGGGAAAGAGAAAGTCTTAATTAATTTGGTGTAGGTGGAAGAAGTCATTGATGGACAGAAAAAGCTACAAAGGCAACTGCTAGACACGAGACATTTAAACTGTGCATAGAATTGTTTGGTCTATGCAAAAACATAATTAGCATTGAATAATACAAATAGCAGATTTACTGTTTTTACTGGATTCCTGGAGCAAGATGGAGAATTAAATGCTGCATTTGAAATGATGTATTCATTAGCTCCTGTTATTAATCAGACACAGATCTCACATTTTATTTAACATGTTTTAAACTCGGAGGGCGAGACTCATGCATCCGGTCATTTTCAAAGGCCGATAATTCAATAACACTTTTTTGTTTCCGGTGTCATATACACATAATTTGAAAAAACGTCCTTGGAAAAGCGCAAGTGGGAAGAAAGGAAGGGAATTGTGGCTGCAAAGGTAATCCATGATGAGAACTGTCTCCCAGTTGAATTGGTCTGTCAGCTCCATGTCAACCTTTACCCTGATGCAGCATTTAAGCTTTCAAGGTTGTTTGAGATGGAAATCCATATTGTGAGATCCAGTCCAACAAACATACAGGTAATCTGATAAAGAAAATAAAGGTGTGCCGTACAGCAAACAATTGTTATGGTCAGCCTCAAAAAAATCTATCCATCTCTCCTTTCATCCCTTTCTTTTCTGTTTGCCAAGTACACAGAGACGAGCGGGACACTGGAGGCAGCACGACACACCTTGCGCTGCCCTCCTGGGGTAAAGCTGTTGATTCGTTAACAAACACAAATCGATAGAGTTGCCTGAATGGAGGGCTAGTACAAAGAATTAATTTCCGGCTCCGGGGCTTTACGGTGGCAAATCACCAGCTTTAATCAACGGTGTCAAGTCAGAAAGACAAATGATGTTTACACCTGACGCAGTGTCTGGTCCCAAAAGAGCAGCACTGGCTCGGCCTCCTTACCAGTCGGTCCAGGCTGGTGCCAGATGCAGTGGTGGGACGCTCCTCGGGGCTGTACGGCCTGAAGCGAGCGCTGAACACATCGGGAACGCCGCGGGTCGACCTGGTCATTCCTGCGGGTTTCGGCTGGCCGCAGCCTTGAAAAACCTGTAATTTCCGAAAACACGGGCAACCAACTGTCAGAGGGTTTAAATGACTCGGAAAGCAGAAAATAGGAAAACGCGCTGTTTTGTTAAGGGGTTGTGAAGCGTTCGTCCCACATTACCAGCGTGACAGTGCTCTCCGTCAAGTTGAGGTAACCACGTTGATAGGTGTTTTAACTTGCGGCGGTGACCAATGCTATTTGAGATGATAGGGTTAAGTTTTTATGGGATTTGGGGAAAATACCACTTACACCATGAACAAAAACTGCATCTGTTGCATGTGAAAGTCAGTGAGGCACTTAACCTTAAATGGAGGCATTCAAAACCGCACGGGCAAAAAAGGATCTTCACCAACTGCCTACATTCTGTTTTCTGTTATGACTACAATTTTGTGGGCAAATGGAAAAATGCAGTAAAACACAGGAAACACATTAACTTTAGTCGAACTTCGAAGTGGAGGATAATCCGACCAAATTGAAACATATAATCCAAGATTATATACGTCGACAATGGGCCTGAGGTGATACTTCTCTGGGGAGGAAACATAATTGACGTACCCTGTAGGAGACCTGGGCAGTGTTATCTTGCATATTCATGATGGCCTCTGAAATCTTGACATCAATAGGATCCATGACGGATTCAATGTTGAAAGGTCCCTCCAGCCTTTGTGCCAGCAGCAGCATAGCGTCTGTCATATCAGTGGTTTAAAAAAAAAGTGGGGGGGGAGTGGGAGACAAAATCAGTTCAATTTGCAAACACAATTCTGGGGAGCAAGAAAACAGATATTTTCATGAAAAGCCATGAAAGGAAAAGATTTTGCCCACATCCCTTCATGCATTTCTATTATGATGGAGCTCACTTCAGTTGAGTACATTTACAGTATTCCAGTAATTGTGCATATCCCATAATTAGTTTAGCTTTTCCCTAGTGTGCTTTTATTTGTATTAGCTTGTGTTGCCCATGTTGGAAGAGCTTTACAAAATACAATGCATATTCTTTCAAAACGTTCTACTCCAGTTTGAGTCCACCAAAACAAACATTTGAATAGCATTTAATTTGCACCTTCATTTGTTGGAATTGGGATAAATGCCATGCCTTTAAACACGGTGAAAAAAAACAAAGTTCATAACCTCAACAGCAAGTCTTCTGATTGCCACGACAACACGGTATTGGCAATTACCTCCACGTTCTCATCTAACACGCTTACTGTCTAAAGTAGCATGAATGCATCTTGGGGCATATTCAATTTTCATGTAGATCAGCTCAAACAAATGAACAAAATGGTGTTATGCTACATGCAAGAAATAGCAATGATGAGTCATTGATTAAATAAACTTCTGAAAGCCAAGCATTTATCTACATCTGCTGTGGGGCAGCGAAAACTATGAGGTCAGTGCCTCATTGATATCCTCATGTGGGCACAAGCCAGAGGGCCTTACACTCGCCAATATCATCAAATTAGTTTTCTTTACTTCCAATTTACGCAGGTCGTGTAAAAAGAAGATGCTGCGTAGAAATATTTCATATTTTTAGCTGTGATGATGCAGACTCCCCAGCTGCTAAGCTGTTAATCGGTTACGAGTGTGAAATGATGTTGACATGTAACATGAAACATGACACATTGCTTAAGTGCTCTTAAGCCCACAAGGTCTTTACGCTAATGTGACACAATCTCTGTAATGGCAGTTCTGCATTTGTATTTGTACCTCGGAGGAGGTGGACAAAACCACTAATTCATACCTGAGCGAGTCCCACATCTAGAGACATGACTTTAGCATATTCTGTTGGGAGAAGTTTCTCAGTTCTCAGGACACGACGCCAGCAGGAGGCTGTCCTAATGTGTCCTTACTGAACAAAAGGTAAATCTGTCATTTGGAGCCAAAAAGAAACCTCGACCCCTCACATGCGTATGACAGCCTGATCCGTTTGTTCTGTCTGCACTACAACAAGTTATTCCCAAGCTACTGATTCTATTTTAGAAACCAGACCAAAAAGTAGTGTCGGAAACTGTAAAAAATCTACGTAAACGTATTAAAAACAGTGGACATTACTAAATAATAATAATTATAATAATAGGTGAACATTGAATAAACCATTAATTACTCCTTGTAAATAGGAGTATATATATATTAGGAGACAACTACTGTAAGAAAAACAATATGTATATATACTTTGTACACACACTCCAGTTCTTTGAAAACCATTCGCCAATCTTATCGTACCTGAGATCACTAATGGCAGAGGAAAAAGGCTAAGAGATAATTATTGCGTCTCTCGCTCGATTTCCTTTCCAATTATTTTGAAGTCTGAGCCTTTGAAGAACTCTTCTGTTTGTTAACAAAGAACAATCCTATAGCCTGTGAGGTAGAATGGATTTTAATATACAGACTATGTTGGTGCCAAATGGTTTTCTTTAATCTTGTGGTGCAACATTAACCCTTTAACTGCTCTTTTATTTAGTAGTGCACATTATGAGTTACTTTTATTGAGCTATGTTGTTGCAAGAAAGATAAGATTATTATTACCAAGAAAATTAAGATTGAAAATAAATAATTTCCACTACTTTTTCCTTAGGGAAGAAATAAATGGCCTTTGAGTAGATGACACTACCAGCAGAGATATCAAACATAAAAAAGATGTTTTACTATTTGCTCATTTGTATTTGCGCTCACCAGCTGATATGATGTGTTTCTTGGCACTAAACTGAAATTTGGGCACAACACTAATTTTGAACGTGGCATTGCAATATAGCTTGCTGTTCAATCTGATTACGATGTAAATTAATTCAACTGCCTCAGGTATGTCTGCTTACTCGATAACAAACACAAAACAGTGTGCTTAAAAACTATCACGTGCAAACACTAAAATGTAGGTCATGGAAGGCAAATGGGAACAAGTCCTATTTCATAATAGGAGAAAAGAAGATTGCCTCAGGCATCACGCATGATGGAAACCCCGGTGACTTTTCTGCAACTTATCAGATGGCCTTGTCAAACAAAAGAAGCCGAGAAATTTGTCTTCCTTCGTACTGTAACTTGTGGGAGCGACAGGGAAGGAGTCTGAGAGAACGGAGAGAGTATAGAAGAAGGAGAGGTGGTGCTCGTTGGGTTGAGCCAGGGTTAAGGTACGACTTTGTCCCAGGGGAAAGGTGGAAAAACTCTACCTACGTGAAGAATTAATGGCCATCATTTACGCGGAGTGCATGGAGTCCGGTCCTCTGTGGCCACCCTGAGCCCTGCATCACTTTTACAGAACAGAGATAGGCCCGCGGCCAACCGAGGAAATCTTTTTATCATCACCACGCAGCCGGGGAAATAGAGGCATATTGTCCTATTCAAAGCTGTGGGTGTTAAAAACAACAACTGAGACTGTGTCAAGATGTAGACAGACACATGAAAAACGGAAAAGACCCCATACTGTGAAACCACAGTGAGATTCAGACTTTTTGTATCATATCAGAGGCTTGTGTTCCAGCTTATAGTGTGCTATTTTTTTGTTGTTATATTGCAAAACAGCAAAAAATAAAAATTAGAGAAGGTACTATTACTCTGGGCTTTGCCTCTTTATCGAGATTGATGTCCACTTAAATTCAGGCTGTGTCAGCCGGAGGCAACCTCCAGCAGACAAGGACAAATAGGGAAAGTGAACAGGGGTATCTATGGCTCTTTGCCTGTGAAGAGGGCCAGCGAAGGAGAAATGGCTCAAGTATAATTTTGATTCTGTAAAGCATTGATCATCTATGGTTCAGTCAACCAACTAAGGGTGCTATATGAAACTGTAGAGAAATGGGGAACAAAAGCATGTTGTTCCTTTAACGAACTTTGTCTCAAAGAGTCCTTGAACATCAACAATCAGTCTTACGTTCACCAAACCGTAAAAGCTTTTTCAGGATGTTTTCTTATTTTCTGTTTTCTAAACAACTCCCACACAATGGAAGCTGAATTATTCCGTGGCCAGCGCAGGAAAACTGTGGATGACGTTTGTTTTCCTTGTCAACAGATCTGAAGACTTGTTAGGAGCTATCAAAATATCCATGTCTGATAAAAGTAATACAAAGAGAATGTCAAAAATATCTCTCTCTCTCTCTCTCTCTCTCTCTCTCTCTCTCTCTCTCTCTCTTTAAATATATGTATATACACACACACAGTATACAACAAAAGCTATGTAGTAAGCTTAGATGGAGACCACTCTGAACATACATATTAAAGGTGCAATGTACTTTGAGTCAGGGAACGAATGTAGCAGCTAGTGGAGTAACGGACTACTTGCCATATAGAAATACTGAGTTATGAATAAATGAGCGAGGAAGAAAGTAGAGGACCTTCGTTCTTGACAAAGACTAGTTCATCTGAGCGGCTGTGGATCAGAGACAGAGCCGGTCCTCCAATTATCTAAAGATTCACGGTCTGCGTGTCAAAGACCGCAGTGTGTTTGCACTGTGTCATCGATGTTGGAACGTGTAATTAGATTGAGTGGCACAAGCGGCAACCTCCGCCGTCAGTGCGCGTTAGACTGAAGGTTTGTGCACTTTGGGTGGTCGCAAGACGGGGAGGGTGCTATTCAAATGTAAGTCCGTTTATTGTATATATAAAGATTACATGGATGGATTGCCATGGGATTAGGGACAGACACATGAGCATTTTTTTCTCATTATTTTGGTGACTTTCCTTCCAGAGCGATCATTGGGTCTATGAACAAATACCTGCACATGTATTTAATATTCCAATCAGATTTAGCTTTGCGGTGTGCTTATGGCGAATTAAGAAAGGCTGGCATGCTAAATCAAGATGGTGAACATAAAAAATACTATGCTAACACAAGTTAGCATCTAGCTGAAAGCACAGGTGTGTCCATTATTCTTTTTTCCATTATAGCAAAGAACCACATTTTCCATCTAGAGACACAGTGGACTAAATGTAGCATGCAAAGGCTACAAAGCCATACAATGGAAACGCATTGATTCTGTGCTTCACTGCTAATGAACCGAAACAGCATAATTCAATAATGAGCCATTCTCAAGCAGATCGTGTTACTAATGGGGTTGGAAATGTCATGGAATTCCAGTCTATGGATGCTGACAGGAATCAGGAAACATTTATTAGCCAAAATATGTCAAACATACAAGGAATTTGTCTTGGCGGTTAGTGTGCGACAGTAGACAGACAAGACAACAGTGCACAAGTAATAAAATAAAGTGGAATGAAATGCTAATGCAATGGGTTAGTAGAATAAGGCTATGGGTTAGTATAAAACAAGGGAATAAAGTTAAAAAAATTTAAATATTAAAAAGTTAAAAAGAAAAATATTAAGCATAAAGTGCACTAACGAACAAGTAACAGACAAGAGACAAAGTGACAAGTGACGACAGGATTGTTTCAATTATTTTGCTCACAAATATGTTGAAGAAGTGCTCCTCCTCCCCAGTCAGTTTTCTTGTTTTCATTTAGTAAAATCCATGTTATGTAGCACATCACCACCACAACACACACACACACACACACACACACACAGACACACACGCGCGCACAAGGCTAATCAGCAACGGTGAAGCTGCATTGATTGATTGACAATGTTTGGCCTCGCTGATACGTTTGACTCCCAGGTCCAAAATGCTTTCCTTGCCCTCCAGATTTGTAATAGCACAGTTGGGAAGTACTTCTGTGATTAGATGCACTCAACTACATCATC